TCATAACCCACTTGAATCTAATGTATGAAATATGATATGTCAAGAGCTTTGTAATGTTTTGAACAACCAATAAAAAAAAGGGAAAAAAAAGAATGTTCTGTTAACCTCCCCCCAAAAAATCATAATCACTATTTTTCTTGCTTTTCATTGAAAAATGTTTTTCCCCTTTGCTATCATTTATCTTTGAGTGAAAATTTGACTCCCTGACCTTGTGTGTACCTAGGATAAGAAATGTGAATATTCTCCCAATGTCCATTATACCTTCCTGGTCAGAAACATTTCTCCAGACTTCATGCTGGAGGGCAGATGGAAGCACAATATATAAAAATACAACCACCAGAGGTACAGTGAAGAGGAGTGCAAGCCCCGGGAAGTCCATACCACAATCTCTAAATAGAGTTACCAACTTTCTCATACCCAGCTGTCTATATTCCCAGTCTCTACACTGTTTGCCTAGTATGGCTATCCAAGCTTCCTTTCTGGTGCTACCCTCCACATCAGGGAAAATAATCACTGGTATTCAGCGAACACCCCTGTTTTCTGACTGTACTGGGTTTGTTGTGTGCCAGTGTACATAAACTTCCCAGCCTCCCAAAGCAGCCCCCTCTGCATTCATCAACTTTAAAGAAAGATTCTAAGGAAAATGCTCCTCTGTCCCATGGTCCACCACCTGTAGTAGGGGTTATTTGAGTTCCATGAGGTATTTCTCTCTTTTCCAGAACATTTTATCACTGTATTATAGAGAGCTGTGTATTAGCCTATAATGGCTTTAAAAAAAATGGAATCATCCCTATTATCATTAGTTCAGTCAAAGTACCTTAAGAGGGAAATAGTAACTCTAGTTTCCAGTATGGAGGCAAATTTTCTTTTTCTGTTTATTGCATTTTATTTTCTGGTCAATTTAATAGTCTTCTCAGGTGAATTGTGAGGACAGTTAGAGAAGAAAGTTTGATGTCTATGCTCCGGTTGTTACAGAGTCTGAAAGTACAGAGAAGCAAATGTATACTGTCTGTATTGCAATCAACTGGAAGCACTTGCCAGCAATCTAAGAATGGTACTATTACTAGAATTCATGCCCATGAAATCCACTCTTACATTCATAAACATCACCCTGCTCAGAATATGAAAAGTGGCACCAGCCTAGAAGAGGATTCCGAAAGCTGAAAAATAAATCTCACGAAAGGGTGTGGCAAGTTGCACCCCATGACATTGGAGAGTTTACCATGTAATCACCGTTAACAGGCTGGGAATTGGTTTCTATTTAGTCAGCTCATGGGAAACATCTGAAGATACTTCAGCCTTTGAACAGAATTAGAAAATGGCCAAGAAAGCCAGATGGGAACCAGTACCAGCCCTGCTCCATCAGTCAGCAAAGACACCAACGAGGAGGCTTTTTGCCACCGTGTGGAGGCCACAGTGTGCTTCCCAAGATTGTAATGATTCCACAGATGGCATCCCCAGAAGTTATAGGCTGAGTGTGCTATATATTCTTTGGAGAGAAATTTTTCATCGATTCTGAAAGGGACTTTAGAAACTCCTTAGTAAGAAGTTAGACTCTCCCACAAATGTTGTCTCTGTGGCACTTACACCCCTAGAGCAGTCTGACTGTAGATTCGTAGCTATATAACAAATACAATACGTTGAGGTATTCTCCAGGGATTACAACTTAAAACCACTCACTTTAAAGATTCTTCTGGCTCTAAGGAAATATTTTTAATTGTTTTGAGAATGTAATGCAAAAAGATATTCTTGAGACAATTATAGATACTTTGAAGAGAGCAATAGATGCTTTTGACTACCTTACACACAAAAACAGGAGGTAATATATTCAAGACTTTAAAAGACCAGCATCCTTCCCAAAGGCCTAATCCATACCCAAGATATAGTTTTCTCACTTGACGGAGGCTGGCCTAAACATTTTGGACAGGTTTAACAGCTGTCTGAAATGCTGAATTGTTGGTGCCCAACAATTCTTTGGCCTCATCCTCCATAAAAGCCTTCAGAATTGTGAAAAGAACAAGCTAAATGATATATGACAATCTTATAAATAAATAGATCCATAACTCTAAGATAGATCCAAGGCTGAATATCTCAAATGGCTTAGTTCCCATTAGTCACTTGCCTCGGCGGCACCTCAAGTGTATTAGCCTCACAATTTTTTCAGCACCATCTATTATCTTCCTTATCATTGACATGAAATTACCTTTGCAGAATTCAACACATGCACATTCTAGTTCGCTGTCAAGTAGAATGTGTTTGCTGGATGCAGAATTAAATGTGATGTCTACTTTAAACTTTTTCCCAATTCATTGTATTCAACAAGTTGAAGGAATGATGAATACTTCAAGACCTTGACAGATTCTATTAATTCGAGTGCTCCAAATATCAAGATGATCCACACTAAAAGGCTTACTGGAATTATTGGTTTCCTCATAAGCAAGAGAATCAATCCTTTGCATCCCACTACAGACCTACGTGCCACAAACACCCCACTCCCAAAGAAAGGGCTGAATCCTAATGTAAGCATTAGTACTCCTCCTGTTACATTTCCTATTAGTTATTCCTGGTATCCTCATAGTTATCTTCTGACACATCCAGAGAGCAAAGGTGGGAGAACACATTCTACTTTCCATTCTTGACAGACTCCTTTCTCAACTTAACAGAAACCTTTAGTATAATTGGCGGTAGTATCTCACTTAATCCTCACAGAAATTTAGTAAAGTAGGTTCTATTATTATTCCTGTTTCACAGAAGAAGAAATTGAAGTAGGCAGAGATGAGATGAAATAACTTGTTCAAGGTTACACAGCTCATGAATGGTAGGGACTAAGATTCAAACCAGAACCTACTGACTACAGTTTATACTCTTAAGCTCTCTGCCTTTGTGTTAGTTGGCTTTTTATCACTGTGACCAAAATACTTGACAAGAACAACTTAGAGGAAGAAAAATTTATTTTGGCTCCCAGTTTCAAAGGTTTGAATCCACAGTCAGCTGACTCCACTGTTTTGGGATGGAGGTGAGAAAGAACATCATGGAGCCAGGGTGTAGAGGAAGAAAACTGTTCAGTTCATTGTTCACAAGGAGAGAGAGAGAGAGAGAGAGAGAGAGAGAGAGAGAGAAATGAGCCAGAAGATAAACCCTTTCAGGGGATGCTCCCAGTGACCTTCTTCCTCCAGCTAGGTCCCCTCTATCAGCCATCTATGGATTAATCCACTGATGAGATCAGAGCCTTCACTAGCTAATCACTTCCCAGAAGCTCCAACTCTGAATTCGTGAGATTTCGGGGGACACTTTGGTTCTAAACTATAACAGCTCGGCTCTGTTGCCATCTATTACAGCTAATACAACAGGTGCCCTCCTGCATGGAGATTCTTGAAGCACAAAGCAGGAGATATTAAGAACCAGAAATGAACATAGTCTTCCATTTCTTATTTGCTAGGGCCTGAGTATAAATCGGCCTCTTCCTATGTGTGCTCACGTTGCTTTTCTCTCTCACCCGTCTGCACTGCTGAGACCTAGCCCTGGCTTTCTTCTAAACTTTCCCTGCTGTCTCTGCCTGGCATCTATCAAGACCTCCCCTTCTGATTCCCAGGTCAGTGGATAAAGACCTCTTTTCCTGTCTGGGTCCGAGCCCTTTGGCTTTGGGAGAGCCCATGTTTAGTGGTCTGAGTCATGAACGACACTAGAGGCCCTCCTGGCTCGGTCCATTAAGTCTTTCCCTTCACTCTGAAGTCCCACCTGTCATTCTGTCTCCCCAAACTGAATTCTGACTCAATCTGCTCTACTATCTCTCTCTCGGCTTCCTGCACCCCAACCTTCTGCCCTCAACTGTCACCACCTAATCTTGTTTCTTTTCTATTTTGTCTTTCCTATCCTTCCTCCTAATCCTTTTCAAATTGCTGTTTTCTCAGGCCCTTAACCCAGGCTCAACTCCTCCCTGTTCCTCTAAAGCCTCTTCCTCACTCTCTGTCAACTCTCAGGTTTACTGAAAGCGCTCTTTCCTTTCTCACTCTGCTTCAGCAATCCCCTGATACTAACCGGTAAGAGCATTCCATTGTCTCTCCTCTGGCCCCAGCAGGAGCAATCACATCTCCTTTTCAGGGATTTCTGTCACTTAATAAATTTCCTTGGGCATGTTGAAAGACAGCCACCATCTGGCTCTGGTAAAGTCCACCAACAAACATCCTCAGAAATATTAAAAATCATTTATATTTAATAACATTTTCTTCACCTTTCCAGAACTTCTCGTCTACACTCACTTTGATGCTCTTCCATTTGTTTATGTGTTCCTGAGCAAGGCTACAGGGTAATTATCTCATCAGCTCTAAGTTTTCATACAAATATTCTCAGGGTCACCATGTATCATAAGCAATATATGTCCTAGCCAAGACTTGATGGAGGTAGGACAAACTAAATTTTTATTCGGTTTTTTTTTTTTTTAAGTTTTGCTCATTTGTTGTTAGCAAACTATATTCTAATCATAGTTACAGACCCCGAGGACAGGACACATTCCAGCAGCAGGAAATAGTTCCGAGAAAGTCCAGGCAGATGGCAAATCTGCATCAGGGGAGACTCAGCAGTGAGCAACAGGTGTGCTGGCAGAGATGCCAAATACAGCATCAGGAGCTGAGTTGGCAGCAGGTAGAGTCACTATCGGGGAAATCTGGCAATAGGTAAAAGGAGCCAACCACCAGCACTAAAGTTCAGGTCTATAAAATGACTCTGGTGCCAAGATAGCATCATAGTAGTAGAGAATGTAGGATTCCAGGGGCATAAAAATTTATTCTGCTTCGACTCCAGATACTAGGAGTTTTGGTTTTGTCACTTGCGGGGGGCGGGAGGGGGGATCAAAACCAGACCACTGATCATGCTAGGCAAATGCTCTACCACTGAGCTACACCCGCAACCCCAAATGTATTTGATTCACAAGAAAGGTGATAGTGGGCTGGAGATGTGGCTCAAGCGGTAGCGCGCTCGCCTGGCATGCATGCGGCCCGGGTTCGATCCTCAGCACCACATACCAACAAAAGATGTTGTGTACACCGAGAACTAAAAAATAAATATTAAAAATTCTCTCTCTCTCTCCTCTCTCACTCTCTCTTTAAAAAAAAAAAAGAAAAGAAAGGTGATAGCGAGGGTAGGAAGTCAGTAAGACTAACCGCAAATTGAGCCACTGAGTCACTGCCTTTTCCTCAAATTCAATGTGCCTGGGATTTGGACTGGCCCAAAGTTTGGGAATGGAGTTAAATTTCCAGGTGGGAGCCAAGCAGCCAAGTTTTTTATTCAAGACAAAAGGGTCCATCAGATGTTACCAGGTGAACTATATGGGGTCAAATGGGAGGAAAGGGAAAAGGTCTGCAGTTTGTGCAGCTTCTAGGTCCACTGTGCTGACAGAAAGTCCTTATCCCTTACCAAAGTGTGTCTTCTAACACAGACACCAGCTCCCAGTGGAGAACTGCCTGCCTGCAGTGTTCTAAAGAGACCAAGACATCACAACTTCCAATTTAGGCCTGAAAAAAAAAAAGCAAACCAGAAGTAGAAATCTTAAAAGAACATGTGAATCACTACAATGAGCCCTGAGAGAATCATCTCACGTGCATTTGACAGCAAAGGTAAGTTAAGGTTATGCAACATTTTCAGTGTACAAGCCAAAAAGAACAACATGACTTCCCCAATGCCATTTGGTCAGTGTGAGCATTGCACAGGTATTTGGAGATTGATTGATCATTCTTACTGTTCTCTAGGTTTCCAAAGACATCGAAACTTGATTCTGATCATGTTCCTGGATATTCTCCTTCATCCAACAGCCAAAATATGAGTACTCCTGATTTCAACATATTCTTCAATTTTATTCAAAGGTTGGGCCATACCATAAGGGAATACTTCCCTGAAAGCAAGGAGACCTGCCACAGAGATTTTCTGACTATAATGTCTACAACTCAAAATGCAAAATATCTACTATCTGGGAAGTTATCCAGATTTTCTGTGCTGGCAGGTTGCTGAGTTGCCCAGAAAGGCACTTGTTTAAATACAAAGAATGGTGTGTAGAGGTGTGTACCATCTATTTGAATGCTAATTGTTTTGGAATTCACCTTTACAATACCTTTATTTTACTTATTCCAATGTGGTGCTAAGGATCGAACCCAGCACCTCACATGCGCTAGGTGGCCACTCTACCGCTAAGCCACAACCCCAGTCCCTTAAATGCATTTTTAATGATTATTATTTACATGTTTCTCACCGAAGTCACTTTTGCCAAACAAATCCTGTCCTCATTGAGCATGGCAGAAACTTACACTTTTTTGCTGTCATAATCATCTTTGATAATGATCCTTTCCACTGCCACAGAGCAAATACTGATAACAACACTCTGCCATTTGGGCATATCTAGGGTGACCAATAAATGCCCCAAATGCCTCTACCTTGATTGTCCAAGTAGGAAGTAGAAAGAAGTAATCTATTTCATTTAGAGTCAGGAGTATCATCTTGGCATCAAAATGACAAATGATCCTTCTCCATGTGTGAAGCATGCTGGAGTTAGTGGGCTAGGTACCAGGGCTATAAAAACTTGGAAATGTCAGTGGCATTTCCAAGCATCTGTTCTCTCTAGCCCCACATTTCTGGGCAACTGCAAAAATTCTTCAGGATGATGCATTCAAGCCCCAGTCCTCCAGCATAATCTGTCAGGAGAAATTTTAAATTTACATCAAAGAAATTAGGTGAATCATCCTACTCTGCACTGTTACTGCTCCACAGGGGTCTCTAGGATGAAATGAAATTGTGGTTACATTTCCAAATGGGTTATAAACGCAATACAACTCTCCTTAGAGACTCACAACTTATACTTTCTTATTTCCTGATACGGTACTGCATCTCTAAAGCCACTCCATACACACTCGGTGTAGCAGTGAGCCTTGGGGAAAAGATAAACATAGGGAAGAGAATTTTGACGATGGATAGTTGAGAGCTTAGTGGACCTTATTAAGCAAGTGTGTGCGCGCTCGCGCACACACACACACACAGATACACAAACAGAATCCCTAGCCTGCATCACTGATCACTGTTTCCTGGATAACTCTGTCCCATTATATGCTGATATAATGGCATATCAGCAAATAGCTAAATAGCACTTCTCAACCCCTGACAGGGAATTTACACTCTGTGAAGCCTCCTTTATCTTTGTGAATAATGAGCTTTAAATGGAACTTTCCTTTCAGGGATTTCAAAGAGGGGATTTTATTTTGGAGCAATGCCCTTAATATAACTTGACCCTTTTAGCCAAAGTTTTTGACCATATACTTCTGTAATTCAAAGGAAGATTTTCAGTCAAAGAAATAGCCATTTCATCTGGGAAGACCCATTCCAGAAACAACAGTATGAACTCCAAAATGGCAAACTCTGGTAGCCTTTCTCAGGCTGAGGGAATTATCAAGATACATACAGCCTGTGTCAAGGCATTTTTAGGAAACAAGCAATAGAGCTGAGAGTATAGCTCAATGGTGGAACACTTGTTTAGCATGTGCAAGGACCAGGGTTTGATCCTCAGCTCCACACATGCACATACCAAAAACAAAATAAGAGAGAGAGAGAGAGAGAGAGAGAGAGAGAGAGAGAGAGAGAAAACAGCCAGTAACCAAGAAATAAACACATTGACTAAGTGCACACATCACTGAGATGACTGCTAATTTAGAAATACACTTCTAGCAACTCATTTTCTCCTACTGTTTCCAGGCACAGTACCAGCAAGAAATTAATTGCCTAGGAGAAGGAAGAAAAAATGTAAGTAAAATCAAATCAAATCAACGTCTCTTTAAAAATAATAACACATATGGCTTTTTAAGAACATTTTAAGGCTGTTCTGTTAATGCAGTAGTCAGGCAACACTGCAAAAGTCCAAGACCAAAGTCGATAGACAAAACACACTGACCGGGGGCCTCTTGCTGGCAGTTCCTATGACATATGCACACTTCTGCTAGTGATGAAGTCTTTGATTAATGTTCAGTTAATCTCTCTTCTCGCTAATAGACCAAAATATTTATCATCAAGGAACAAATGACCAGACTACTGATACAAGTGGCTTTTGAGAAGTCCATTTATAATGTAGAACCTTCGGCAAGAAATTCTTGATTTAAAAAAAAAAAAAGAAAAGAAAAGAAAAAAAACTGAAATTGATGTATTTAGACTTTCCTAATTTTTTCCTACTTCCTCTGCAAAAGAAGGTGACAAAATTAGAATGGAGAATCAGGAAAAGAATGCAAAGTAGCATTTATTGGGGATTTACCAAGTGACAGGAGCCATACAGGACAGCAAATTGCATGTTATTTCATTTAATTCCCATAGCAATATTTCATAGTGGACATTGTTATTTCCATTTTAGTGATGAGTAAACTGAGATTTAGCAATATAGTCAAGGTCACCATTTCAAACCAACATCCACCTGGTCATAAAATTCATGGTTTTAATGACCTGTGGTATTGAATATCTATGTATCAAATATGGAGGAAATGTGTAATTCTATCTTTAGAGGTGTTAAATCCTATTAAAATGCACAATCTGTCTCTTGCATACCTGAATAAATGTTGCTGAGCATTCATTCGTGTAGATATTTAAAAAGAAAATAATCAAACAGAGCCTTATTTTCCCACAAGAGCATGTGAAATGCTCCCCCCCACACACAAACACACACACAAAAAAAAGACAGCAAATTCACAGCCAGTTGGTCACAGGACCAACATTGACATTAACCAGATGCCTTAGAAAACTATTGCTTGTGTCCACTTCATTCCATAGTGAAGAACAGTCACTAGGTCCTATCAGCTAATGCAGGCAGCAATTGCTCTTGGTGTGAAGGCCACAAATGGGGGCAGAGGTGTGAGAATGCAATTTTGAGAGGACTATTGAGCTGCAGAAACTGAGGGGTATACAAAAATGACATAGCCAAGGGATACATTCTAGCTCTAACTCCTATTTGTGTTACGAATCTAGACATGCCAGTTGACTTCTCCCTGTTTTATTTCCTCATCTCTTAAATAAAGATTTTATATTACTATCTCCAAGGTTACCTGCAGATCATTTGACTGTGTTCAACAAAGTGGATCTAGGAAGAGAGTTCAGAGTGAGAAAAGGACTATACTGAAGTTCAGAATTGCATTACCACAAAGAACAGGGACAAAACACAAAATGCCCATTGTTCCTGGCCATGGGGTCAAGGAAAAGAGGAAGCAAAAACCCAAGCACAACACTAAGACGGGTCTATGGGAAAGTTCACCACATTTGAATCCCAGGCTTTCTTCCTCAAGAAAAGAAAACCAATCCTTAATGGGGGCTAACCTGAGGATGGCAAACAGAAGTAATATGTTAGAATGAGAGACCTGGTTAGAATGAGAGACAATTTGAAAGGGAAGTTTCTAACCAACTTCTGCATATCATTGTTTCTAAATTGGATTTTGATAAGGATTTCCTAGCACTTAGTATCGGTATCAGTTTGGTTAGCAGTTCCCATATTCTTTTGAGGAACAGAACGGAAGAAATCAATAAACCACAGAGACATTTTAATAACATCTTTCTAAGAAAGAAATTTGGGTCTTTAGGTTTTTCCCTGAGGGAGATTTGTTAAATAGATTCACAGTAATAATGGCTTGATTCATGAAGAATTCTTTTTTAATTTATACTACATTTTAAATCAGTTTGTTAATAGCTACCACCCTCACTTGACCAGCTTTAAATAACACAGTCCAACCAAGTGATTAAAAGGGGGAGAGGGTATTTATTTTACAATTGCAAGGAAAATGGGTAGGTAATTTATTTGGGAGTTTCTTTGGATCAGTCACTAGTGTAAAGCTAATTGCCTTCAATATTAAATGGAATAGTTCTTTAACCTACGGGAAAATATGTGTTTGTGTTTGCGTGTGTGTATGTGTGTACTCATATTAGCCCATATTCATATGTATGTATAGATAGCATCTATATTACATATGTGTGTATATGTACATACATCAGCCCATAGGCTTTGATGTTTAATCTAAGAGTAAAACAAAGAATTCTGGGTACTACATACTGTTCATAAATATATACAAGAATTAATTCTGTAGCATTGATTTTTATAACAATTAACTCTTAAAACTGAATATTAAGTATAATCATTAAGTGATCATCACCGCACAGTGCTGTATCTTGCTCCCATATGAGTATACACACAGGAAAATTGGAAGTCTATACATCATACCATTGTTAGTAGTTGTCTCTAGGGATAAGAATTTTATTTTCTACCTATTTTTTTGTTTTGTGCAAATTGTCTGCAACTTTATATTACTATTATAGTCATAAAAAATAAGGAAAAATAAGGAGCAAGTAAGCTGCCCATCTACCTGTATGCTTCTTTCTTTCTGTTTTAATCTAAGTTAAGCATTGGGACATGGTTTGGCAGTATGCCATTTAAGTGTTATTTCAAAGGACTAATTATGTTTTAAATTTTTATGTAAGGTCTCTGCATGTCTTACTCATAGTAATCTGATGATGATGATGATGATGATGATGATGATGATGATGACGACAATGATGATTACTGATGATAGAATGATCTTGGCTCTTTAAAAATCTATGTTGAGGGGCTGCAGTTATGGCTCAATGGGAGAGCTCTTGCTTGGCATGTGTGAGGCACTGGGTTTGATTCTTACCACCATAAATAAATAAATAAATAAATAAATTCCATTGACACTAAAAAAAATGTTTAAAAAATAATTTATGTTTAACATGTTCCTTCAGAGGGAAGTCTGGAGAGGGAAGTTTGCGTGACAAAGTCTTGGATACATTTCAAGCTTCAGCAGTTCCAAATATTTCAGTCCTCATAACTCAAACCAATGCAATTTCTTGATAAATACAAATAAAGTTGGGGGGAGGAAATGTTATAAACTTATGTGATAATTTGAAAAGAGATTTTATTTAATCACACATAGTGGTTCAAAGTCAACCAAAATGCATCACCTGGATCCAGGCACTGTGTACGACACTTAAAACCATAAGCAGTTGCTGTTTTTGTTGCTCTTCCACAATGGAAAAGAGCACAGCACTTTAAGAAAGGTCCAGCTTGGAAATGAGGAGACCTAAATTCTTAGGCTTCAGTACAATTCTGCCAGATCATCTGTGTGATTCTGACCAACCCACGCTCCCTCTCTGTGTTTCAATTTCCTTATATTTCTCCCTTTTGTCTACATTGTCTTCCACAGAGTGAGTCTACTTCACACCAGATACCAAGTCAGAACTGCTGCGTTGTTGGTTGCTGTATGTCCAGCTTCTAAAATGGTTTTGCTGCATTGACTCTGCTTAATAAATACTGTTTTGCAAGGACAGATTCCTTGGTGATGTTTTCTGAGGTTTCCACTGTGTGGCTTTTGCTTTCTGCTCAACTTGGAGTAAAACTGGGAGAGCAGACAATAAAGATCAGGTTCTGTTTCTTGGATAAGAAAACTTCCTTGCCTAGAAACCAAAACCAAATACACAAAACAAAACACAAATGCCCATGGCAAAGCCATCACTGCGTCTTTTGCTTCCTTGCAAGCCCCACAGAGTACCTGCTGGGGAGGCAGCAGGAACAAAGCAGAGCCCACTCATGGAGTCCCACTCAGAGCTCAAATAATTGGCCCCCTCCCCCCTACATGCCTTTCCTCCCTCTTTTACTGTCGCGGAAGCCTGCCCTATAAATCAGATTTAATTATCTATAAAAATTGGTGTAGAAAAGGATTTACTCATTAAAAATGTTCATCAACTTGCTACCCACGTTCCAGACTAATAGAAGCGGAAAAGGAACACCATGGAAACACCAGACGGGCTGGAGAGATAAGCAAGCTTTGAAATACCTGAACCTCAATTAAATAGCAAGTTCCAGTTTCTGTATTTGCCTTTTAAAATATCATGTCAGAATAAGTAAATGTCACCAAATAATCAACCTGTTCCCCCCCCCACCACACACACACACACACACACTCCTTTTCTTTTTTGGTTACTTGCTTCAATGGGCTTTAAAGGATGGGTTTTCTTCGTTTACTTTCCTTTGCCTGCATGCTACCCAAGATATTCTCCCCAGTCCTGTGTGTGTGTGTGTTTGCAAAATGTCATAATCCTCTCTGCAGCCAAACACAACGGCTCACATTTAGTCACAGAGTGAGGAGCAGTTAATTAATGAGAGCCAAGGGAGTCAGCAAGGAAACATTGGAGAAAAACGTAGCCAGTGGAGGAGCAGAGGGGAGATGTCTGAAGTCAGTCCAAGATAAATCTTCAGTCCTTAGAGAAAGCCCTGGGGTGGTAGATGGTTCTGGCTGCCAACTAAGTTGGATTTAGGGGCAGAGTGGGGGGTGGTGGTATTTGTTCTTTTTGTTTGTTTTTTTAAAGTGGTAGAACAGGGAGTGCGGGCACTTGGAGAGAATGTTAGAGTTGCTTTAATAAGGCAAAGCTCCTGTCTAAAATTGCACATCAGTTTCCATGAAAGCCTTCATTTGGGAAAAGGCAAAGATCTAAAACTTTTTCTCCTCTCCCGGCACATGAGGGGATTTTTGTCGTGACTCCTAAAAGCTCACTGTGCCAAGAAAGAAAGTGCCCGCAGGAGTGGGAGGGAAGAGACACATGGAATGGCAGCAAGGAAACCTGCCTAGAGGAGCCAGCTCTCCCTTCTGTCCCCCTACTTCCTTCCAGAGACAGCGTCTTTCCCTGACAACGCCTGCCTCCTGTCATTTCATCCCAACTCTCTGCCCAACCTTGAAATCTGGATTTTTCTTTTTAAAGAAAGATGTCTGGAGAGAAAAATAGACAATGAACAACCCAGAGCTATGGTCACAAGGGCTTGTTGATATGGTTTTGTCAGATGTTGCAGGCATTAATGGTAAGGCCCATTTTTAGTCCTGGAGACGTGTTTCCTTTTCTTTGTATATTCCTTTTTATTTATATGTCCCCACTATATGTATTCTTTTGTTGTTTGTCCCTAGGATCTCTTGCTGAGTCTTCCATTCTGTTCTGTCTAATCTTATGAAATCACCAAAACTCACACAACGGAGGGTTTGGAATATTTTAACCAAATTTTGGAAAAAAACAGGGTACTCTGGTTGCCATCCACTCATTCATAGGTGAAGTCTATGTTCTCAGCTCACATGGGCCTTTGAAGACTTCTGCCCTGGACCATACAATGCTAAGAAGATTCTACAGCCACACCACCCAGCAGATGGTCTGACCAAATAGGGAGACTTGGGTCTCCTCCCAGTGTTTGTCCCAGGAGAGGTTGTGAGGTTGAAAAAATAAATGATATAATGGGCTGGACTTTGTGATGCTTTTTGTCCCCCAGAACTACTGTTCTGTTAGTACACTGTAACTATTTGCATACATGGTTCAGCAAGACTGAGCAAATAATAGAAAAGAATCTTGTCTTACTTCCTGTCATCATCCGCCTTTAAGGAGCGCCTAATCCATGGAGGGACAGCAGTAATTTGAAATGAATTAATCCATGGAGGGACAGCAGTAATTTGAAATGAATTAATGAACAAATAGCCTTTTGTTGTTAGATCTACAGAATCTTCTGTTTCAGATGCAAAAGCTACAATTTTTAAGTCTTTAGAACTTTGACCTTCTGGATTCACCCAGTTACTTTTAGTGAAAAGTACATATGAGTGATGTACTAAGAAAAACTGTGTTAGCCATCCCTTAGTGTTCCTATTTTGTCATTATCCTCCTTGCCCCTGTTCCAAATAGCCTTAAAATATACCTAGTCAAATCATTACGCTGTGATTAAAGAGAGTTTTTGTATGTCATTCAAATGACTATCTACCAAATCTGAAACACTGAGATCCTCAGCTTTTACTGGTGTGTGAGGGCTTATGTTGGGAGAAGGGAGAGAGGAAAGAGTTGTAAATGAGGGAGGAGGAGGAGGATAGGAAGACAGGAACCAAAGAGAGTGGGAAAGAAAGTCTTGTTCATCAGCCACTATTTACCATTTACTTACTATAGACCAAGTATTGGCTATGTTCCTGCCAAACAATGGTAAACAAAACAGTGCTTATTCTAAAAGATTTAAAAATCTGCTGCAGGCAGCTGTATATGAACATGGTAGTCTTACTGATTTCACCATTCTAAAAATTATGCCATAGAAGTGGTTGTTGGGCCTCAGGCTGTTCAAGTGTTGAGGTAACTGATAATGGATAAAATCTCCCAGAGCTTGAGCCATGAGCTTGAGTATTAGTTATGCATTGTTGAACACTATGATCATTCTTCCATGCCAATAGGCTTGCTGCTGCTGTCCAAGTAAATAACAAATATATTCCTTAGGCAATGGGAGAATCTAATGAAATTCAATACATGGCCAGTTAGAAACAGTGGCAGCCATCGTTGTCTTTCCAAATTATGCAGATATGACAGTAGACACCCATAGGCAGAGAAGACTGACACCTCCACTGAATGGACTGAAGGAGCCCCCAAACCCACCCTGTTCTAAAAATTTTCCCCCTCAAGTCAGCCAGAAAGTTTATATGCCCCGCTGAGAAAGGTATTTTCACCAAATTAAGTCATCACATGCCTAGAAAGAAAAAAAAAAAAAAATCCATGATCAGATCTTACCTATTATAATAATTACCTTTTTTTAACTAGTCTATTATGTTCTTCTCCTAGTCACTGGCCCATGCCCCCACCTATTCTCACCATACCATCTGATTCAGATGCAAAAGCTTAAAAAAAATATGTGATGATTTAGTCTGATGAAATTCCCATGTCTCTGCTGAGATAGCACTAAGTTCAAGACCAGGAAGTGAGTGGGATGACCATAAGTAATCCTTTAGGAGGAAGGACATCTGGTTTTGGTTTTTTGGCTTTTTGTGTGTTTGTTTTGTTTTGTTCTGTTTTCAGAAGTCTTATAGGCAGCTTAGTTGGGAGTCCCTGCTCTGGTTGTGGGAATTTGGACCCTGTCTACAAATGACAGCTAGTCTACTCATATCTCAACTCTGGTACAGAGCTCTCTGGAATGTCTGCCACAGGCACCAAACCCCCTCTTATTCACTTGACAATCTAACCTCTACCATTCTTCTCTCAGGAGCAGCTATACTAAGTGACATCCAAATGCTGGTAATGAGGAGATATCTACATACACACAGTTTTGAAAAATAAAGCACGGAAAGAGTTGGGAGTTGTCAGTCATTTTAGCTGTCCTCAACCCTGTGTTTATTTGGAAATAATTTTCAAGGCTGCAGGAAGTGCTGCTACTAACTGATGAGCAAGGTTGAACACTGAGAATGAAGAATGATTGATGTTCTTTTAGGTAAGCTGTGGAACTCTTCGCCACTAGAGGCAGCCACAGCTCAGGATGCTGATAAGGTTCTGACATGAAGAGTGAGTGATGAGTGTTATGTGATGTCTGCTGAAAACAAGAAGCTGTGACAACAAAGGAAGAGAAATCCTCTGGACACAGTCCTAAGGCTCCACAGAAGCAGGATAATTGTCCTGATACCTTGACTTGATCTATGGCACAAACCTCAGTCAGGATCATCTTTACTTTGGGGGGCAAGAGACTATCAAAACAAAGACTCACTAATGGTAATAAATCCTCATTGATTTACTCATTGGTTGGTCATTTTGGAATATTCTCATCTGAATGTTTAATTCAGAATACTTTACATACTATCATATGTTATAGTATTAGTAGTTAGAAAAAAAAAGACAAGAACTATTAGAAACAGTAAAACTATCAGAATCTAGGAAATGTGGTTCTTATCTTGGTATTCCTGTCACAGAATCATCAACCCTATAATATTGCACACAGTCAGCTTTCCTGAACCCTAGTCCTTGGATTCAGAATACCAACCCAATGCAAATCCATGCTTTCTGGAAACTGTACAAAGTTCTTTTGAACTATACAAAGTTCTCTCTGGCTCATAAGCTATAACATTTCATCATCATTGCTCTCCTAGAAGTCCTCAGCAGAGCTACCATCTACTCTTAGCTGCATGTATGTACACATTCAATAAAATTTAGTGGGTGTATGTTCCATGCTAGGCATGATAGTGGGTCCTAAGATACAATGGCAGATAAAATTTTAAAACTCTGTCTCTCCATGGAACTCTGTCCAGCAGAAGGTAGACACACTAAATATAAAATGCACATTTCAAGAAGATGTTGAACTCTGAAAGGAGAAGAGCAGGCAGGAGGAAGTAGGGAACAACCCTACACAGATACAACAGAATATGATAAAAACCTACATCAGATTAGTAGGGAATATCCATTGATGTAACCTGGATTCCTTAGACAACAGAAGCAATTCAAATTTAATAAATGCCTCCTTTCCTTAAAAGTTAAAACCTCTATATTTATTATAAATAAG